CGAGCTATTCAAACATTCAACATGAGCATCCAATTTCACCCTTGATTTCTTCCAATTTTTGAATCCTTCAGTAGTAAACGCGTCTCCACTTGATCGTTCGTTTTGACCTTTAAAAAGATAGTAGCATAAACAAAATGCAGCATCCTTCTCTACATTATGCTACAACTAATTCGACTTCAAGTCAAACCAAGCTTGATTGAATCGTCGATATTTGTTAGCAGAAAGCATTTGGGGCAATTCTTGTACATGGGGATGGAAAGGACATCACATATGCCCTTCGAACACGATCTTGCTCATTAGGAGTGTAATTATAGATGCGTGTTTGTAGTGCAGGATCTGCTAGAAATTCTTCTAAGTTCCCTTGTATTTGAAGATATTGAAGAAATTCTTCTAAGTATAAATGATACTCATTACAAAAGTTTCTCACAATAATCTAGACTATATTTGAAGATATTGAAGAAACTATGAACACAAATTACTAATATTATTAATTAAATAAACTATGAATTTACGATAAATATAATTCTAAATTCTAAAAAGTAAATACAAATTACGATTGAGATTAGGGCTTGCTGGAATAACAAATTGTACAAACAGTAAAACCCTAATATTTTTGGTTTGCTCCGTCTTTAGTGGCTGTTGAGTTCTGACACTATATTTTTTTTGCAAGGATTTGTTCCTTTGAGATTCAACCACAAATCTCTCAATATTAAAATAAACAAAACTTAATCCTAGGTAGAAATATAATCCTATGTGGTGTGGTCCGCATATTATATTTCACATATAACTAAAAACTTACCTCAAATAGAGAGCACAAACAAATACTTCAACAAAGTAGAAAGTTATTTCATGTGGCCTGCGCATGATTTACTTGTCGAGTTCATGTGGATTTCTCTAGCTCTGACTAAGGCGCAAAATCAAAACACCCCGCTCCTAAATTTGGAGGTGGGCATGTGACCTCCCTTGACCTCTACCAATGAATGCATATAAAGTGCATTGAGTATTGACACGATGTAAATTTGTTGAAAACAAGTTGAGCTTATGAAATCTTATATAATGTTGTCAATTTCACATAAAAATATGAAGTTAAGGTGCAACTGGTCTTTCTTTCCAGGATTTGTAGTCCTATTTGTCAATGTATGTCATGTTACTCCGTTCCTTTATTCGTGTCCAAAGCTAAATGCTAAACATTTGAAAGTATAAATTCATTATACTAATAGAACATTGAGATAGAATAACCATCAAAGTTAATGGATGTTAACCTTTCGTAAAGTACCTGCCATCTCCTAGTTAATTGGCTTTGCTGTTTTCCTCCAATTCCCAGTTCAATTGATTTTAACATGCCAATGACATATGAGAAGAATGCAGCTTGAAGGTAACACAAGGAAAGGAAGATTTCCGTGCAGATATTCATTAAACAAAAAAGGCAGCATTTTAGTCATAGTGGAACATAATTTCACACAGAACAAAAGTTGAAAACGGAACTAAATGATGAGAGAAATGAAACCTTTTTAGCACTCGACCATCTGTGATAGTTTGACTTGTTTGAATAAACATGCATCTGGTCTATAGCTAAAATGTGTAATTAGTCTCTGAAGAAAAACAAAAGCTATCTTCCAGTGATTTTTGATTGAGTCAAAAAGCAAAGCGGATGTGCACATACATTGAGTAATAATTATCCAATCTCATGTAAAAGTAGAGTTCCAGGTATCCATTTTCAGTAAATGCATGCTCCATACTTGCGAGCTTGCTCGTGAGTGGATGTTAAGTGGTGTCGGTATACCAATAAACATATGTGTTATTGCTCGTACACGTGTGCTATTGCTCTTGCAGAAAGGTTCCATAAATAGACTATTGCTTTGAGGCAAAACCCAAGAATCTTCTGTGCTATTTGATATAAGAACACATTGATTTGATCTTTGGCATGTATTTAGATTGTGATACATAGCTCCATTGTTATCGAGGCGTGAGCGCCAGGCGTGCCCTAGGCGCTAGGCGCTACAGCCTGCAACAAATGTGCCCCACACTAGAGGCGGGGCATTGCAGGCACGCGAGGGGCGCGCCCGTCGGGCGTACCGACTCACTGCGCCCTAGCTGATGGTGCGCAGGGAGTTAGGTTGTTTTGAATTAAACGGGTTTCGGGTCTGGTACCTGCATATTCCCATTAAACCCTTTTCTTCTTAGGGTTTCAAGGCTCAAACTCACTGCTCCTCAAAGTTCAATGAAGAGGAGGAGGAAACTGAAGATTAGGAAATTCCACTTTAGTTGGATGACGATGATGATGAGGATGACTAGACACTCTATTATTTTGCTTCTTGCTTATTTTGTTTCGTAGACTTTTGCTCATGTTGGATATTATCTTGCATTGTGATTTGTGGAAACTTATGAACATCTCTATGTTATGCATGCTAATTAAGACTCTTTCGTGATTTAGTAGGTAAAATTATATTTTTTAGTCTTTTTATGTGATAATTGATAATTGATAAACATGTTGCTTATATGCTTCTTTGTCTTATGTTGGAAAATATTAGTTTGAGTTATGCGCCTCAATTCAGTAGAGCGCGCGCATCGTTGTGCGTCTTGCGCATGGTGCTCGTAAGGGACCTTTGCGCCCTGCATTGCGCCTTGCGTCTTGCGCCTCGATAACACTGCATAACTCATGTGTGCAGAATTTCGATATGACAAGAAACCATGCGAGTGTGTGCATTCTGTTTGTGGACTTGGACAATGCATTAGATTTCATAACCTGTACTTTTTAGATCAGCTAGTATGCTAATTATCCAAAATGAAAATACAGACCTAAGCACCATGCAAACCGAGCTTTCACACCTCAGACATGTTATGCTTCTCCTGTATCTACATACTGTTTGAATACAGGTTTTAGTTTGTTTTTCTGTGACATATGATACTTTGCTAACAAATCCTGTTTGCTGCTTAAAGTTGACTTTTTTTATGTAGTTCTGCAGATTCTATCAGATTCCGAGAAAAGGGCATATTACGACAGTTATATATTCTCTCAGAGAAAGGTTTTGCAGAAGCATCCGAAATCTGGTTCAGTTATGTATATGTACAATTCATCTGTAACAATAGCGAAACAAGGTGAAGTAGTAGAATGGGTAAAATGGTATAGACTTGTGATTGACGATATTCTTACTGAGAGGAGGGTTGCAGTTGGCTCAGGTTATTTTTATGAACTTGAAAGTGAACTGTATTCAGCTATACGTGCTGCATATTTTGGCCCTAATATCGAGTCAATGGACTTTCTTCCTGACTGTTTTGAAGCAGAGGAAAGGTCTGTTTATGACACTCCTGAGGTATTGCATTTGGTTTCTGGGCGCAACCTTTTTGGAATCATTTACTTAGTTGATAAGGTTCCTGAATTATCAGATACCCACCATGAAAAACTAACCTCTTCTTGTTCAGTGGCTCACGATATTTGTCGATATGTTAGGCAATCAAATATGGGACTGAGTTCTACACCAGTGGAAAAATCAGATATTCTTAAGATGAACGACGAGAAAGGGTTATCAGATATATATAAAGATTTGGAATTACATATTTCTGGACGATTAGTTGCTAAAGCAACTAGGAGTCCTCCAAAATGCAAGTCTGATAGCATATTAGCAGTTGACTGTGAAGACCAGATAAATGTTTTTCTTAGTCTGGATGAAGACAAGGTATATAGGAGTGAGACGGCTTCATCTTCAGCTCAATCCAACATTCTTTTGGGGTCAATAAGTGGACTAGGAACCAAGGCTGAAGAGGGAATTTGCTCTGTATATGACCGAAACGGTACAAAAACTCACATGATAATGAAGCATAGAACAATGATGGTTGGTATGAGTATTCTGCATCTTTAATATTTATTTTTATTTTTGGTGTGTGCCTGATCTTCATATTAGACTTGTCTATCTTGAACGTGATACGTAGTCCCTTTCATCTTATTTTGCTTGCTCATTGTTTTTGTTTACTGCTCTGTGGGGTGCATAGGACATTCTTTTTGCTATCTATTTAAGTATATCTAACTTCCTTGTTACTGCATATGACTCTCAGAAATAGTTATCAACTACCTAATCATTTTTACAATATTTCCATATGCTCTCTTTCTTTTCTTGCCCTTAACTATAAAAGGGTGATATTTTTGGCCTTTGTTTTTCTGTCTGTAATGTATCTTCACTTCAGATTTTGTGATTCATGGAGTACATTACATATTTGCACATTCTCTGCTTTTTAGGAGAAACAATATTTGTAGACAATACAGATGAGGTTTTGAACTGTCATTATCTTTCTTGTATGGGGTCAACATTTAGTGTCCTGATGATTGTTTAGGATTAATATTTGATCTGGATGATGAAAAGGAGGGCTCCAACCATTGTAAAATTGGCACAATGGAGAAATGGAGGCAATAACCAGAAGATGACGATGTAAGCAATAGAAGGGCAAGGAAATGTAAGACTTAGAGGGATGAGAGATATAAGAGTTGTACAGCCTTTCAGGATGCACACAGGATGATTATGCATGTCATTAGGATGGTGAATAAATATAAAACAAAGAGGGATGAGAGAGAAAAGAATGATGTACAATCTTTTGTGTGGTCTCTCCTAAATGGGTTATACTCACCTGTCGAAGTCATTGAAGAGATCTCAATGGAAGAAAGTGAAGGAATTGCAATAAGTGGAAGACCGTATGAAGTAACCCATCACTCTCAGTTCCTCTTTTTTCCAACAGTGCCCCATCATTCCCCTTAACGAACCTTAAAGGAGGAATGCCAATTACAATTCTCGGAATCCTAGAATCGTTGTGGAACAAGCACACAGATGCAAGGGTAACTAGGCTTTTACGGATAAACTGAAAATAGTCTAATTCGATCAGGATACATAATATATCATAGTGATCCAAATATTTCAAACAGTTTACCCAAATCCATTTACTTCCGAAGGAACTAGGAGAAGATAATTTATTTGCCAGTATGTGTATTCAGTCACCATAATCCTACATAAAAGCAGTCCTACTTTATTTGATTTTTGGAGTAAATTATGTATAGTTGTGAGATCTTATTGGCTGAAATCATGTATAGTTGTGAGATCTTATTGAATCATAGGTCACATCTCTAAGTCTTACATTTCCTTGCCCTTCTATTGCTTACATCGTCATCTTATTGTGCCAATTACTGAAATCACAGGTCAGATTAAGTTGGAGATGTGACCTATGATTTACTGATTTCAGTAAATCATAATTTACTCACAACTCTAAGTCTTACATAATTTACTGATCAAGTTGGAGATGTGACCATTGACTCACAACTCTAAATCTTACTGATTTCCTTGCCCTTCTATTGCTTACATAATTTACTGATTTCAGTAATTGGAGTAAATTATGTATAGTTGTGAGATCTTATTGAATCATAGGTCACATCTCTAAGTCTTACATTTCCTTGCCCTTCTATTGCTTACATCGTCATCTTATTGTGCCAATTACTGAAATCACAGGTCAGATTAAGTTGGAGATGTGACCTATGATTCAAAGAAATATAGAGGTGAAGGAAAATAGTGCTAAGATGCGTCAGCTAAGGAAGAGTCTCTAATCTGTTAGGTGGGTAACTGTAAGGGAGGCTTGACTGACCAGATATTGTGAGAGATCTGAGTAAGAACAAGAGTAAAGATATCAGTCAATGGTTAACTACTTCCAAAAACTTGTTAGCACTGCCCAAAGAGGAATTCCAATTATAGAATTTTTTAGTAAATCATCATAGAAATCCTCAACGTATAATCGAGGAATACAACTTGTGCTGCACTTTGAACTATAGTATCTGGGTACCAAGTTTCAGGCTTCAAAGTCTGAATAGGACTAGTGCTGACTTATTACTGTGTCTCTGAGCTTCCCAGTTACATCTATCAGTGAGTCTGAACTCTGAAGTGTCTGAGCATAGGATGTCATCGGCAATCAGTGTACCAAAAGTTGACTTTAGTTTCAAATTGACCTATGCTGAAACCTGAGAAGAATATTACAAAGGGTTCATTTTTTTTAATTTTGCTTGTTTGTTACATGGCAGATGATTAACATAATGGTAACTTTTTAACATATAGATGGTTAGATATGTTTTTCTCTCCAATATTTTTGAGATGCTTGGAACGGCCGTAATCTTTGTGAATACTAGAAACTGGTTATTTTCTTTTAGGGCCCGAAGCTTATTAGCAGGGTCCTAGTACTCTGCAATTATGATGTTCTTGAGAGTATCATCTAAAGTAAGTTGATCATTCAAGTTCCCAATAAAAAGGTCACACTAACATATGGTGATTATGCTGTAAGTTCATATATACTATAAATTTCTTTCTGCACCTCTTTTCTACACTTCTAGATTCGAAGGTAAACTTTTTGCACCTCTTTCTGCACTTCTATATTTAAAGGTATAACTTAAATAATATTTTCAGGTAAAACATATGCGTTGGTTTCCTGTAGGAGGAGAGTTTCCAGCTTGTGAGTGCAGATGTAGTAGAGCTCGCCTTCCACCTAGCAAGTAAGGATGCAATTTCTTTCAATATTGGAAGCTTGTAACAAGTTTTAAACATTGTTATTCTTACGTTGGGAGAGTAACTTGATTAAGAGAGGGATAGTCAGGTTTTATTTAGAATTAAACGAATATAGTACAGTTAGTGATCTTCCAATGTGGATAGTCGGGTTTTATTTAGAACTAAACAAATATAGTACAATTAGTGACCTTCCTATGAGGAATAAATAGCTTTTTTTCCTAAAGACTGTTTTCCTCCTAGGAGTTGAAATAATTCCCTCTCACATTAACAACCCTCGGATTTGACTTCTAATGGTTGATGATGTGGAGTCATATCTTAACCAAATCAAAGTAGGAGAGGATAAATTTGGTCATTAAGATTATTTTCTTAGGATTAGAAATTTATGGTAGTTAGTATCCATTTTGGTTTTTTATAGTCTATCGGTCTTCCTCAATATTGTTTCATTTCTCGAGTTTAATTTAATGATTATCCCAGTGAACCCTCATTTTTAATTTAACTATTGAAATTAAATACCTTTAGAAACAGTGATGGTGAAAGCAATCAAACAAATTACATTACAATAATCCAATATTTGTTTAGAAATTTCTTCTTTATCAGGAAGAGAAACCATAGTACTGTTAACACGAATTTTGGTCTCTTTATATCGGTCTTAAAGTTACAATATTGGGGTGATTTATAAAATTTCTTCAACGAATTTTCAGAAATGTAATCTTCATATCATTTGTAGAAGGGATGTTATGTGCTTATTTTTTCAGAACGGGGTTAGTATTGGACATATTCAATTAAAGGTACAAATTTATCGACACCATGCAGTGCTGCAAGTTGATAATGTTCAGAAATTTGGATTGGAAAAGGTACTTTGGGCACCTGAATTCTGTGTAATTCAAAGAAATAAATATTGAAAGGTGATAATGAACGGAGATTATCCATTCCTAATATACAATCTTCTTTTAATTGTCGGGGAAGTAAAGCGAAGTCAAAATGAAATAGCCGTTCTTTGCGTTGGATATTTGATATGGCTACCGAAAGATTTCTAACTTTATGAGTAAGCGAATCCTGTTGTCCTGCAAATCCATTTAATATTTCTTTTTTGTCAAGAGGAACTTGGTCTTGTGATGGAATAAATAATTGTTGGAATAGACTTCAACACCACTATTGATAAGTGCATTAAGAGTAAATTCTTTAATTTCAGGTAGTTTTATAGTAAGAGGAAACTGTATATGTAATTGAGATTTTTTCTTTAGATCAATCGTATTGCTCATTACTTTGGATATCTGTTATTGGTTTTTTTACCATCATTTGTCCTAATTTAGGATTGATTCTTTTCTTATCTTGTTCTTCAAGATTTTCAAAAAAAATTATTGTTCTTCCTTCAATAGGATAATCTTGTCTAAAACTTAACCTAAGTATGTCTTGTAAGACTTCTGGGTTTAGTTTTGTATATAGTAGCCTATTTGTAGTGGATTGAGATCTGAGAAGCTTGTTATTAGATCAAGAGCTAGAACTTGCTTCATCTTCTATTTTTGTTATTTGTTATGGTGAAGATATGTCTTCAGATGCTATAAAATATTCAATTAGTAGTTGTACTCTTAGTTTTAATGCTTTTAGAAAGATTTGAATATGATTATCTAACTTAAGGTGTCTAAGATCTACTAGTCTAGGTTGAATAGTTTTTCTTGTTGCAACTTCATATTACTGAACAATTTTTTTTTGAATCTATGGATTTAAAATGTTGAGTATCATTTAAAGCCATACAATGTTCTCATTGTATACGAAGAGTTTTTGATCCAGGTAATAATTGTATCGCTTTTAAATTGAAAGACGTTGGACAAGCTTTATCGATGTCTTCATTTTCTAAGCTTACACAAAAATTTGGGTGTATATTTACACCAAACAATCTATTTGCTAAATTGGATTTTGCACCTCCAATATTTCTATTTAATTGATTATTTATAATTATTTCATCCATACAAACAATCATTATTGGAGTGTCTATTACTCATCTGAATAGTCCTGCTAGTTTTAATTGTATAAGCCCAATATGGATATATCTCATCCGAGGATTTTTTTTTGTTGAAGTTTTTCTATTTTTTGTTTATCTAAAAGTCTGATATATGTGAATTTATTATCTCCTCTTAATTCTATATTTCCTTGCATTCATACAAAGACGCTTGCTTAATTTAAAATCTAGATTTGAAAAAAAGGCATTTAATAAACATCCTTTTCATCAGAACGAGTATAGCCTCTTTAAGTTTTCATCAGTGATAGGAAATTATTCACCCATACTGTCTTGAATACAACTATTTGTAATTTCTTCTAATTCTATAGAATCCATGTCGACTCTATATCCATAATATGTTTCTTTCTCTTTTTCTTTAGTATAAAAAAAATCCTTATTTAATAAGAGGAAGATCTTCATATCTGTGTATAACAGTAAGTCTAACAGGGTCTCCTTGTTCTATCTCATAATCTCAATCTTCTACGCTTGTACTTTTAATTAGAAGATAAACATTATCTTTAACATCTGATTCTATTTTTTTCATATGTAGCGAAGATGTTCTCTTTAGTATGTTTACGTATGTTACGAACAATTTCGTAGTATCCAACAGGTAATTGCATGATTAAATCTAACCATATTTCAGTGGTACAATATCCTTTTAACCTTTGATTTCTTCCGGTATATAGCATATATCTAGAAGAATTATTCTTCTCCTTTTTGGGAAGAAGGACAAATGAAGTTAATGGAGTAATTTTTATGACGTTAGAGGTTGGTTATTGTGATCATATTTATTTCCATTGTTTCAAATCAAACAAAATTTCTAGTTCTCCTTTTGAACTACTTGTATTTAAGCTTACAATTTCGTATATTGAAGAATTAGAATCGCTAGGAATATCTTTCAAGGGTTCCAATATTTATTCCATATTCTTCTAAGTCAGTTAAGACTATCTTTTTGATATTCATAGCACATCCATAGACATAGTGTCACTCTTGGTTACATTTAAAACATTTACAACCTTTCTTAAATTTTTTTGTTTTGATAAATTTTTTCTTCGGAATATTTTTCCTTGCTTATATTTTTTCTTAATATATTTTCCCTATTTTTTCGGGATAATTTTATATTTTGGTTTTCTTTTCTTTCGATAAGATATATATTCTTTTTTATATTCTGGTGGACAACCAAATTGAAGATTAATATCTTCATTATATTTGGAGCATTTCCTAATTTTGATTATTTAGTCTTAGCTTGAACTTGTTTTAAGGCTTTTGCTTCTTCACATCATTCTTGTATTGTTTTTATACAAACTTTCTTTAAATAGCCTGTGTTATGTGTATTTTCAGGATTTTCATTAGGATAAGTTGATAACCTCATCTTGTCATATCTATATTTAAGGTTATTCCATGGTGATGGAATCTTAGATAAAAAAATTCTTTAACCAAAAGATTTATTTGTCTGTACTTGCTAATTCAAAAATATAACCTATATAAGAAGAAACAAATTCTTCTAATATGCATATATCTTGGATTTTAATAATATGGTTTCAAAATCAATAGCCTCATCTAGTTTTTCTTCAGGTAGGTCTGCATTGAGCAGATACTAGTCTAGAGATCACTTGCTCTTTATTATAGGCATATTTTATATTTCGCATTTCTTAATGTTGCATTTTCTCAAGATTTTTTTTAACCATGCTAATGTTGAACCTTCTTATAGGCTAGTAAGATGACAATATCTACATAAAATATCTTATTGAAAATTATTTCTCCATGAATTATGTTTTGGGGTCAAAAGGTTCAAAACTAGGACAACTGGAAATCGTGCAAGAGACTATTTCTTGAGACCTATATCTATATTCTGCTCGTCATATGTTTTTTCTCATAAGAGTTTGATGCAGTCATAATACACACATGGGTTATGAATATAATAAAATAGCATATGCTATGTGATTAGTTGCATATATATACCTGTATGTATATTCTGCCCGTCATATGTTTTTTTATAAGAGTTTGATGTGCTCTAGCATAATAGACACATGGGTTATGAATATGATAAAATAGCTTATGCTATGTGATTAGTTGCGCGTGTGTGTGTTGTGTTGTGTGTGTGTGTGTGTTATATATATATATATATAATATATATATATATATATATATATATATATATATATATATATATATATATATATTTATATATATATATATTATATATATATATATATATATATATATATGAGAAAAATGGGTATGTTTGGTACCAAGCACAAATTTTGTGCTTGTAGTGAGGTGTCCTATTCTCATCCACTCATTCCAATTCCCAACCACTCCCCAACCCATGAAATATAGGTCCTGATTTCAATGAGTGGAGGGAAATATGCTACGTCACTACTAAACACAAAAACTTGTGCTTGATACCAAGCATAGCATTTCTTTCTCTCTCTCTCTCTCTCTATATTATATATATATATATATATATATATATATATATATATAGAGAGAGAGAGAGAGAGAGAGAGAGAGAGAGAGACAATAATTGAGGTTTTATTAAAGTATGATGAGCAATAGGAATCAGTTGAGAAAAGATTACACTTCTTCTAGTTAGTTACCATTTCTACATTACATTATGATAATCCTTTCTATGAATTTTATTTTACAATCCAAATTCTTTTTGCAGATTTTGGCTTTTTGAGCCACGCTCTAGCATCCATGACATTGGTGGGTGGTATGTTGAAACATTTGGGCGAGACAAGAAAGGAAGGACAGTACCATCACAAAGGCAATGGGATGGCGTCATTGAACATCCTGAAAAGTAAGTTTGTCATGTTCTATTTTGTTTTGTTATTCCTATTGTTTTGTTCTGTGAATTTTCACATATTATGAAAACAATTAGTTTTACCTTAGGCATTCTCAGAAAATTTTAAGATAGATCTATGAATATTGTCCATTTGTTGATTTGTTTTATACTTGTAAAATGTATGAGCACAAATTGCATATGGATAAGTAGAAGTCGTTTAGCATTATTGCTATTTTTAGTAATAAATAAGGAGAGTACTCCACCTTTCATTTTTGCTAATGCACTGGTGACCTTTTATAAAACAGAATCTTCCTCTATCGCGTATCATTACATTTATTGTGGAGATTAGAGTTGAGTAACATCATATAAAAGTTAATCAATTGAAATGAGAAACTAAATAAGATAATAGAAATAAGAAACTGGTTACATTTTGTGTAATTTGATTGGAAAATGGTATTTATATACCATCTCAACTAAAATGAGCTCATACATAATGCTTGAAGCATATCCGTTTTATGTTCTATTCTTTTGGCTGTTCTTTTTCTGAGATCCTCCACTTTTCCATTCTAATATTTGATACTACGATTTTGGTTATTTTATGTTTATATATGATATACAGTACTAATGAAATGTATGTTAAATTACTATGCATTTTCTTACGAAGTTGCTGAACTCTTTTTCTTTGTCCAATAAATGAAAAAAAGTTCAATACTTAATTAACTTATTTGCTCTATCCTTAGTCTGCTGAGAAGTTTCTTCTAATTTCGGATTCCTACCTGTCTTTTTTAACGGATGATTTTGGATGATATTTTCCAAAAATTCAATTTGATTATTGTATGTCTTTGAGATTGACATCTGATCCCGTCTCTCTCCATTTTCTATAAAATTATTGATCATTGATGCTTCGCAGATGATAATCCTTGCACAATGATGATAAATTCTATCTTTACATGTGTTATGGAATTGCTTCGAAAACAGGAGTTGATTGTTTATTTAGATGTCTTTACTGCTTGTTTCATTTTTAACAAGTGTTTGTGGATTATTTTTGAACTGATGTTGCTTCATGGATTACATCCCATTCCTTCTGTACCCAGTCAAATTGTTTTCTCAGAATTAGAATTTTTTATTTGTTTTTTTTTTTTGTAATATGCCAAATCTTGTTGTGCCTCATGACCTAATAAACCTTCAACCATGCATGTCTCAGGAGACTACACCCTGCCATGTATCTGCTAGCTCTTGCCTATAGAACTTTAGATCTTGAAGATGAAAAAAGAAGAAAACGAGCTGTTAGGGATTTGTTTCCATCTAAACTTTCAGGTATTCTTCATTGGTGCAAGAAACTTATTTGAATGGGTGTTCTTGGCACCCTGGATATGAGAATCAGCAATTGATATCTGAATGCCAGTGGACTTACTGGACTATGAAACAAGAGATCTGATGCCAGTTTACTCAAAACTTTTCTGTGTTGTATTACTATAACGTGTCAAGGCCACATATGGCTGCAGAAGCTCAATTTAGCCCTGGTGCAATAAATTCCAAATCTTATGTATCAAAGTTGATCTATTCCTTTCACATCCTTGTACAACATTTGGGTCTTTTTTCTTCACGATCTTGCAGTTAAGCGAAGGAATACCTAGACATAGTTTACGATGAGAAAAGCTTTTGAAGCATTAAATAAATTTTTATGGAGATTCAAGTGGTCTTCCAGTTTGCAGTTACGGCTACAAAAATAATACATGTATTTGGAGCCGAAAAGCTACTTTTTCCTTTTTGTATGTTCTTATGGTTCATTGTTATTTTATCTTCTCAAAGCAGTTCTTGTTTATGTAACCATAATGTAACAATGTATTTATGTATATTGTTAATCTCAATGTCTGAAAGGCTGAGGCCGAAAGGCTCCTAGCAGAGTTAGAATGTCAGTTAACTTTGTGGATGAAGAAAAGACTGTTTTTCAATAAACTGCTCTTTTTCTTTCATTATTGTGGTTTCTTGGCACAAAATATCCACTATTTTGTTGTGCGCGGCGGAAGCCAAAACCAAACAGACGACGTGATTCTAGAAATCAAATCAAACAAACGAACGAGAGAGAAAGGCCAAACGAACCAAAAATAACGACACAAACAACCAATTTTAACGTGGTTCGGCAAGTTGTTTATGTCCATGGGGCAAGAAGGTGCTTATGTCCACGGGGCAAGAAGGGGATGAGGTTTTCACTACTAGAGAAGAAAAGTACAAACTGAGATTACAAATCACTCAAAGCAATCAACTAATCTCACCAACAAAACTCTTAATCTTTCCAAATAAAACCCTAAACAAAAGCTCAGAAAATACCTCTTTTCTGTGCTCCAAATATCCCCCAAACAATCACCAATCAAAGCAAAAAAACCCTAATTCGTGTTTGGTATTTATACCAAACTCAAATCCCAAACAAAACAGGAAACCAATAACTCGCGATCGACCGCAAAAAGTCTAGAGACTTACTCTCCTTCGTGCACGTTCACGGTCGTCCACAGCGCCACACGCGGTCGACCGTGCAACACCCAAAAGCGTTCTTGCGTCCAAAACCTGTTCTGTTCCAAATCTTTCGCCGATTCTACAATTCTCCACCTCGGCGAAGTTTTTCCAAAACTGAGCCGACACCAACAAAAACAAATGTCCCACTTGTTACGTCCAGTATGAAGTGAAACAAAATCACAACAACGGACTCAATCCACAACAAGTCAAGACCCAAATGAGAATACGAACAAACTCCAAAACGTCGATATCAACCCATCAAATCGGCCGCATCAAAACTGACTGCCTATATATCATCTTGCCCGAGGAATCAAGCCTTCACGTAGTTCCCCAAAATGACCTCCAAAGGCCTTAATCAAATAGAAGGATCTTCAATCATTCACCAATATCATCTGCATCCAAATCTAAATGATCCCCTAACTGTGTCATCTCAGCTGGAATCCCAAACGTTGCAGTATGATCAGGAGTATGTGGAGTAATCTCCACCCAACGTGGAGTAGCATCATCCTCCACCTGCTGCGATATCCAAACGATCTGATCAACACTCTCCACCTGCCGAAAGTTAAAAGTGACATATCTGCTCAGAACAAAATCAGAGGTCTCCTAACTGATAACCAAGCGAACCTCTGAATCCCAAACGTGCAATCGGATCAAATCTCACATCCTCGATGTGACCAAATACTGGGCAACCAAACATCCGACACAACCCAAAATCTGAAGCAGCTCCACGAGATCCAAAATCACTAATCGCAACAGTTGACAACTTATGGCTATGATGACCCAAATATGTCAAAGCTCGAAAGCCAAATCCAATGCTCGACATCAAACGCCGATCCTCCTCAAGAAAGAAACGACCAATCAAAAAAATATCATCTCATCTCGTCGTCTCAATGTTTCCTCTCAAATGAAGTGTCTTAAACTGTCGTGAGCTCGGCACAAACGCAGAAATAGGTCCCTATTGTACCTCCCTCTAAAATCAGAATGAAGTACATTCACCCTTCTGCCAATACACTTCTTTAAACTGTTAGAGACTACTAGGACTTTATCCAATCGAGATTTGGTTGTAACCCAAGCATGCCTAGAACAACCACCAACAAAGAAAACCAAAAAATCAAATACCTCCCAATGATGCCTCCCTGGAAGGCCCCCAAATGTCTAAATGAACACCACCTAAAAAGACCCCTAGATTGATGGATAGAAGTATCAAACTCTACATCAGTGTTCTTGCTCATACCAATGTGCTCATAGGACTTTAATTTGTAGGTCAAAGCACTTCTCAATAATCCAATGCACCGTATCAACAATCAAATAACCTAGCCTCAAATCCTTCTCATCTTTCTCAAAACATCAAAACAAATGCGGAACAAATGAAGAATAGATCCAAACTGATAAATGAGAGATTTTTATAAAAAAAGATTCCACTTTTATCTCCAAACGAAGCCCTAGCCGAACTTTCAAAGCGATATACTCCTCCAAATAGCCTAAGTGTAGCCCGAGCTCTGATACCAATTGTTGTGCGCGACGAAAGCCAAAACCAAACCGACGATGTGCTTTGAGAAACCAAATCAAACAAACGAACGAGAGAGAAAGGCCAAACGGACAAAAAATAACGGCACAAACACAAACAACCAAATTTAACGTGGTTCGGCAAGTTGCCTATGCCCATGGGGCAAGAAGGGGATGAGGTTTTCACTACTAGAGAAGAAAAGTACAAACTGAGATTACAAATCACTCAAAGCAATCAACTAATCTCACCAACAAAACTCTTAATCTTTCCAAATAAAACCCTAAACAAAAGCTTAGAAAATACATCTTTTCTGTGCTCCAAATATCCCCCAAACAATCACCAATCAAAGCAAAAAAACCCTAATTCGTGTTTGGTATTTATACCAAACTCAAATCCCAAACAAAACAGGAAACCAATAACTTGGCCTGACCCGACTGGCGGTCGACCTCTGGGCCTGTTTATTTGTTTCCTATTCTGTTTGGGATTTGAGTTTGGTATAAATACCAAACACGAATTAGGGTTTCTTTGGCTTTGATTGGTGATTGTTTGGGGGATATTTGGAGCACAGAAAAGAAGTATTTTCTAAGCTATTGTTTAGGGTTTTATTTGGAGAGATTGAGAGTTTTGTTGGTGAGATTAGTTGATTGCTTTGAGTGGTTTGTAATCTCAGTTTGTACTTTTCTTCTCTATTAGTGAAAACCCCATCACCTTCTTGCCCCGTGGACGTAGGCAACTTGCCGAACCACGTTAAAATTGGTTGTTTGTGTTTGTGCCGTTATTTTTGGTTCATTTGGCCTTTCTCTCTCGTTTGTTTGTTTGATTTGGTTTCTCGACGAAGCATGTCGTCGGTTTGGTTTTGGCTTCCGCCGCGCACAACATGTTTTAGGTATAATGACCGGGAATCAGACCCAAGACCATAAGAGCTATATTAAAACCTCTCAATCAAAACCCGTGGTGCTCCGTGCATGGTTTATTTTTATTTCCATGTTTCATGTTATTGTTGTTGATGCAGCTTCAGGTGAGTCAATTAGATTTAATATTCTTTGTTTCCATGGAACAAACGGCTCGAGTGCTGTCCATTGAAAATACGAGTGTTGTCCATTGAAAAATCAGCTGCGAACAAAGGATTCTTATGTCTGAAAGATTATTTTAGTTATGCACAAGTACTTTAATATAGCGTATTTTCCCTTCTATTTCTTAAGACTGAATAATAGTAATACCTAACATTGTTGTACATTTCATTTGCTCAGAATAGAGAGCCGTGCTATGCATTCATCAACGTCGAAGGAATGTACTAAGCATCTCATAAACTTTTATTGACAAAGTAAAGCACATTCTGCATTTTATGTGCATGTTGGGATTCAGGGTGTTTGTTATAAAATTTTCTAGCCACTCTCAAACATGCGTGGGTGGTAGTTTCCTACACCGAGAAGTTGTTGGGTTGATTGATTTGGGGGGGTTTCTCATATTAATTGGGATAACAGATTTGCTGCTTGAGATGCTAATTTCCTAGGAGAACATTTGGTATTCTCAGTATTTGATGCTAATATTCAAGAGAGCTTATACTCATTTCCCAGTCTCCTGACACGTTCTAAAAATTACTGAACTGACTGTGTGCACGGATGTACTAGATAATCAAACGTACGCCATTATATCGGCATCCATATTTGATCACATGTCAAGACAATTCTCATATGAAATGTGGATATGGTCTGTATATGTTTATTTCCAAATACAAATATGGATATCGTCGTATCGATCGATAACAGATATGTGTACCCAGAGAAGTGTGGAATTTTGCAAGTCTTGAGAGAGTTTAGTTTATTGTCAATTTTTGCACCATGTTTAGACATACTTTGAAAATGCCGCCTGTTTTTACATCTAATTTGCGTTAGTATTCATTTTATTATGATTTTTATCCGCATCCATTCAGTGGACATTAATGGAATGTTTTTTCTATAGAACATACCTATATGAATATTATCTATCTATAATCTGTAGAGTTGGCGCAGCGGTTTAAGGCCCCGCTGCATTCCTGTTGGGGGACGATTCATAGAGAGCTAGTCCCGTGTTCAAATCCCCTAGCAGGTAAAAAACCATCGGGCCAGCGCTAGCCACGAAGCGCGAGCGGAGATTAGTCTCATCCATAATAATTAAGGTGTGAGGATACTATGAAAAAACCCCAAAAAAAAAAATCTATCTATATTCATAATTAGAAGATAGAAAGGATATGTTTAGACAAAATATATGACTATTTGCCCGCAAGCTGATGGCCTGGATCGAGTTGTTTCAGTCCATGTATTTATTGTGGCTAGCCAGAGGACCATCTTCTTCTCAAGAAATAAGTAAACCGCAATTGAATAACGAAAAAAACAAGTAATTAACTAACTAACTAATTATATACTAGGTAGGTTACCATACACAGCAATTAAAAAAGGAGCATTTTTTTAAAGAGGAGAATTTTTTGAAAAAAAATCTATTTTGAAATTTGGAATTTTCTATTATTTTAATTCAAGCAATTAAAAAAGGAGAATTAAAAAAAAACCTTTCAAAATTAGCAAAATCGATCCTTTTGCTAAATAATTCGTAAAAATTGACCTCTTTTTGGCCACGCCATCAAGGCTAGTCAAAAGAGATTGATTTTGCAAAAATAACATCTTTAAAATATACAGAACTAGTTGTCCCGTATAATTAGCGAACGTTAATTACGGACCTGCTCGACAAGGAACTGATGACGGACATCCTCAGATAGCATCCTCCTCATCAAATCCTTGGCGGCTGCCAACACGCCCCTAAAACCGCCTCGGTAAACCTAAATTCCCCTTCTCAAATATTGCCCCCACTGCCTCCCGCATAAAATGAAACCATCCCACTCACCATCACATACAATATCACCTC